AAACGCTTTTCCCCCAGCTGGAGAAAGGTGAGCTATGGCACCTTGGCACTCTACTGAGGTGACACTGAGGGACTCTGTCTCAAAAAAAAAAAAAGAAAATCACATTCTTAGGTTCCAGGTGGACATGAACTTTTTGGTTCACTCTTCAGCTCAGAGCAGGCAGTGAGAAGAGCCACCCAGTTCTTGCAACACCATCTCTAGAGATGGAAAGATTTAGGAAGGTCAGAATCTCAGTGTCCAAAGCCAACATGAGTCCACCCCCATCAGAAGATGATCAGTCTTCTCAAAGCCCAATCCTAATTCAAATGGATTTTCCAACTAACTACAACAGCAAACCAGCCAAACCCCCTCCCCACCTCATGCCAGGAGCACACTTACTTTCAGCAAGAATTTCACTTTTAAGCTGAGTTTCTAGATTCACATCCTGATGTCGCCTTAGTTCATTTTGCCCCTTGCAGTGTGTAACCTGATTAGACCAGTACAAAGTACACCCATTCTTTTTGTTCAGGGCTAGATAGATTCATACAGATACCATGAATGCTTTGATCTTTCACATTTGATTTTCCTATGTAAAAGTATTTAGCTTAGATTTCTTATATTTCTAAGGCCTAAACGGGATCTTTTCCAGCCTTTGAGCTCATTGGCTTCTTGGAGTGGGTGTCATTTGTCTTTGTGTCCTTAGTACCTAGCACAAATGAGCCTGGTTCCTAAATAGTATGTTGTAGAAGAAAGAGAATTTGCTAATGAGTGTGGGAAGCCAGAGGCATCGTCAGCCTGGCCAGAGAAACTTCCCTCTCCGTTTCCAAGCATGTTACTGGATAGCCTGCGCCAAGAGAATAGTGGCCTGATTTTAAAAGAAGAGTGAGAAGGCCCAGAAGAAACTGACTCTGCAGTGTGTGTCCATGGCTGTAATGCGAGCTGGCGGAGCAGTCAAGGTTAGACAGGAAATTTTAATTACCCCAGACTTATCCAGAAGCCTCTTTCAAAGGGAGGCTATGAGGGCAGCCACTTAAAGGCAGGACCCAAATGCAACATCTTAAAAATGCAGCTGTGGTGTTTTTGCAGCAAACTAAAAGCTTGTGTTTCAATTCCCCAAAGAGAGGGTGGGAAGAGGAGTGATTGGCCATGGGAAAGTTGTCTTTTTATTAAGAATCCGAAATGGTGATGTCATGGACGCCCTGCCAACACCCAAATGGCTAAGACACCACTGAAACCCAAAAAGGCAAGGTTGCGGTGGAGTTCATTTCTCACCACGCCCCTGCACCCTCACCCAGTTTATTTTTTTTCCTCCATAGTCTTATTTCTGAGAGAAGGAGAGAGAGATATAGGCTGGGAATTTGCCAAAGAGGTGAGAGGCCTCTTATGGAGGTTTGTTTACTTGGGAGGTGGAGGTGAGGTGGCCCTCATGTTGGGTATTCTTTTTTTT